TTCCCAAACAATAACTTCCTCACATGTGCCATCTCTAAGGTAGCAAAAGGTAAGTCACATGGCCGAGTTCGCTTAAGAAAGAAATTCTTAAAATATTTGACCGTGAAAGAAAATGGATATTCACAAAGTGGTGGTGGTCGTGGAAGAAAAACATATTTAGAAAAATGTTCAGAAAAAGTTCCAAGCAAAGGGCAAGCCCTAACCTCTTAGGACGGGAAATTCTAATATCAATTTTTCAATCTTCACATCCTTATGCAGGGCAGATGTACGCGTGTCGCGAGCGTTTACGCACATACGGATCTTCGTGCCTTCGGGAACCTCTTAGATCAGTGAAAGTGTGTCCACCTATCTGTTGACGGAAAGCATATATTGTGGTCAAAACAGTTTGTCTGATAGAGTTCTGCTCTTTGCCTTTTAAAAATTTGTACAACCTAAAATAGAAAGTGAAAAACTTCGAAAACAAAACCTCTTTTAACGATTGCGTTTTGCCTGGCCACCAGCTGTCAAGATTCAACTCCAGGTATTAGTTTCCTCACACATTTCGTCTGACTCACTCGGCGAATTCCATTGTGAGAACTTGGGAGGTAATGCCCGTACACCATCAAAGATATAGGGGTGCATTGTATATGTGTTTTGATCTTCTAACATTAATCTAAATCATTCTCACAAAGAGAGAGCCCCTTTATTTTCTTTTAAAGGTAGAGACTTATTCATAGCTAGCGTTCTCCCATTTCTTGATCCATGATACTGCTTTCTGGCAAACTGTAATGGCATTTCAGAGCCATCTGAGAGTAATGAAGTAAAGTCGCCAGACTTCCTTGGGTTTTTCGTTGGGGAGTAATCCACGACAATTGCGCACTTCACCTTCGCTTATGTCTATGCTTTTGGAAAACTTCCAAGGGAAAAAACCCTCCTTCCAATATGAAAGCTTCACGTACAGGAGTTTTCATGTTCTGGTGGACTTACAAGAAAACGAATGCTGAAAAAGAGAAAAAAAATCAAGATTACAAAAAACGTTTAAAAGATTCTTGCCCTCGTGTTTCAACTGATGTGATGCAAATTGTTGTAAGTGGCCTTTCCGAAGTCCGACGAAATCCTGTCGTGATTGTGAAGCTATCCCGGATGAGACTCCGCTCTGTCATTTGTGCGATACTTATTAGTTCCGAGGATTTATGTTTTAAGGAAAAAAAAAACTTACGTTTATTAATCAATTCGACAAATTGAAGGGCTTATAACATTGGATTAAAAGTTTTCCTCAAATGAGAAAAAAAAGGAGAGAAACCAAAATAACTATGGCGGAAATAAATTCAAAGCCGTGAACATGGAGAACCCTAAATGAGAGGACATGTCAAAGTTTGACAAAAAAAAAGGAAGTTTAGTTATTTCACGATTATTGTCGTAAACTTCCTTAAGCCTGCGGGGTGTAGTTAGGA